TTAAAACTAATATTGCCAAAATAAAAATGCAAATAAAAATTAAATGGACTAAAATTATAAAAGTTTTATAATTGCTTCAATAACTTCGTTTCTGAGAAAACGAACACAATAAGTAAGCTCTAGTTGACAAAACTGAAAAGCCTTAGAATTTACTCAAGAATCGCCTGGAATATTCCGTAAAATTTATTTTGTGACGCCCTGTACATGTTAAGAAATAAACTGCTATATTCGTATGTAATTTTACATAGAAAATACACGACGAAAATACTAAATTTTATTAATTTTTTTAATAATTATTATTTTTATCATATAGAGGTATCGATTACAAAAGACAACCCCGCATTTTCGATGATAAATGATTCAGACGAGGACGTAGTCTATGGGTCAGATGAAGAAAGCAGAAGACCGTTGAACAGGAACCGAACCGATGATGACAGCGATTAAATTTGTCATTGCTACACAGTCTGTTTAAATACTGTTACATTGTTATAGATACGATTATTATTAATGTATTGTAGTTAATTTTTCGATATTCGTACAAAATGTTTACAAGATTGTATTTCTTATATATGCCATTTTTCAAAATAAAGCGAGCTCCAGCTGCCAATCCTTTTTTATTATTTTTAATCCTGAAAAAGTAACTACCAATAATAAAGTTCGAAATGTACAACATTATCGTAGCATTGTCAGTCTTAAGACTGGTTGGACAAAAAGGAAACTACGCCAAAGGGTAGGGCGGAAGTCCTTTTCAATCTCCTTTGAGGAATTGTGGGAATGAGTGGGTGATAGTGGTAGGAGTGAGAAAACTGAGATGGACGAAATGAACCTGGAATCGAACCGCTGTTATACCAAATGCTACCCAATGGTCTAAGCCTCTAGGTCATGGGTCATGACGGTCACTGTGGTAGTCGAACACGCTCTTCCACTCCTGCCTATCTTGAGCCCATCAGCCAAGCATTTCTTTAAAACTAGAATGTCCCATGCTCCTTACTATTTGTGAACAAAAATTTAACGAAGGTTTAACCCTGCCCCTCTAACTCCCCCTAAAGCTCTTCATGCCTGAATAACCCCCCTTAAAGCTCTTCATGCCTGGATAGATGGCCCAACAACTTTTCTCGCCTATTTATTATTAACTTATATAGCGCCCTCTGATCTCCTACTCTCTCTAATACCTTCTCACCCTTAGCATTATCTATCCAGCATTTTCAGACGCTTCTAACCGATCCACATATACAACATAATTAACGAAATCGTATTAGGTACATATTTTCTACCTTCTTGTGTAAATTCTGCATAATTATTTACTTTGTCCAGTAAACAAACCATTATTTTTAATTTCGTATTATAAAAATCACTAAACCAAATACAACCTTTAAAAATTATGGAATTTGTTTACAGTGGAATGGAAGGGGTAGGTACATTTTTTGACAGAAAATCGACCTCATTGAATGGTTATAAGAAAATAATATTGATTTTAGTAATAATAAATAAATAATACCGTCCTAGTTTAATTAAAGGTAATACCTACCACCACCCTCCATTTAATTATCTTTAGTTATAAGAAGAAATCTAAAACAATAAACATAAAAATATACCTAGCTGAAAAGTTTTTCGTCCCTATAATCTTTTTTAGTTGAAGTATGGTATCAGTGTTCACTTTTTTTAAAATTTTCATTTCTAGTGGAAGCTAGAATGCACGTTTGTGTATCTGACTTTCTGGAGTAATAATTCTACAATAAAAAATTGCTATGAATAAAAATCTTACAAATATACTGGAAAATAGGGCATCTTTGAAGAAAATTGTAAAAAGAACAGATATTGACATTAAAATTACTCCAATTGAAAAGAAGCAGTAGAAAATTTTTATTTGTTCATTTTAGGGAAGATAAACTGTTCACAAATAGTTAAGGATGTATAATGTAGTGGAGATGCGTGTCCAACCATCAGATTTAGAACTGACGACCCTATGACAAAAACTTTAAAAACTTTTGGGTGTTTCATTCCCACCAGCCAGTAATGCTGGTGGGCGGGCAGTCCCTCCGGACTACGCCGGAAGGTAGGGCGGAAGGCCCTCTTCAGCCTGCTTTCAGGAATCGTGGGAATGGGTGGGTGGTGGTTCGGGTGAGAAAGATGAGACGGACGAAATGAAGACAGAAGAGAATGAAAGATTATCTGTGGAATATTACTGCCTCAGCATTTGCCTAA